TATCTTTCCATTTTTTTGTATCATTTTCAAATTCCTTCATCAGGCTCACTAAAATAAACCTTTGACCAAAGACTTTTTATAATGATAAGAGGTCCGTATGACAAGACTAAAGTAATAAATGTATAAATGCTTAATTACAGAGCTCCAAAATAGATGAAGCATGTAGTAGCAGAACTGGTAAAGAAATAGATTTATTTCTCTAATATTTATATATCAATTACCTTTAGAAATCAATTATATTCATAAATCAATTGTCCTAGCTCAATAATAGAACTAGTCAACAGAAAACAAGCAAGGATATAGAGAATTTAAACCAGATCCTAAGCAAACTTGATCTACTTGACATGTATCACATCCTAAAAGAAAAGAATAGACTTTCTTTTTCAAGTGCACCTGGAATATTAACAAAAATAAACTACATTATGGCTCTAATCAAGTCTCAGGCAGTTTAAAGGAACTGAATACAAAGTATATTCTCTGACCACAGTTATATTAAATTAAAAATGCATATCTGGAAAATCCCCAAATATTTAGAAATTTAACCAACCCACTTCGAATCCATGGATCATCATGGCTTAAAGAGAAAATCAGACAACAAATTAGAATTCTTTTTAACTCAATGACAATGAAATCAAAACATATGGGAGGCTTCAAAAGCAGAGTTGGGGGAAATTTGTGACATTAAAAGATAATAAGAGACCACTACAAACAACTTAAGCAAATAAATTTGATGACTGGTATGAAGTAAATGAAGTTCATTAAAGAGCCACTTACTGAACTAAGTTAAGAAGAAACAGGGAACCTAAATAATCATATAGGAATTAAAGAAATTAAATTTATCATTAGAAATACTCCACAAAGAAAATGCTAGGCTCAGATGGCTTCATTTGTGAATGCTATCCAACATTTAGGTATTAATAGCAGCACTACATAAACTCCTGGAAGAAATACAAGAAGAAACACTTTCCAAATTATTTTATTAGGCTAGTTTTAACATTAATACAAAAACCAGAAAAGGATGTCAAAAGGTCACTGTAGACCAGTGTCATTCATGAAACAAGAAAACATCAGCAAATCGAATCCAACCAAGTACAACCAAGTACGTTTTATCTCAGGAGGCCTGTTTGGATGAGTATAAATACATCCATGTAATGTGTCGTATCAATGGAATAAAGAACAATAAACATAGAGTCATCTCTACAGAGAAAAAGCATTTAAAAATTCAACACTCATTCATGATAAAATCTCTCAGCAAACTAGGAATAAAAGGCCACGTCTTTCATTTGATAAAGGGCATCTGTGAAAGACCTACTGCTGACATCATACTTGATGGTGGAAGACTGAACACTTTCTACTCAAGGCAAGGAAGAAGGCGAGGATGTCAACTCTCACCATTTCTATTACACTTCTGGTACATTTCTGTTGTACTAGAGGTCCTAGCCAGAGCAGGAATGCAAGGAGAAAAGAAATAAAAGGATACAATTCATTTAAAAAGAAATAAAGTGTAGATATGCATTTGCAGCTGACATGATCCTGTACATAAATTCCTTGGGCAAAGAAGTCTTCTAGAAGTGATAGTTGAACTTAGGAAGACTTCAGGGTCCAAGTCAGCTGTGTTTCTATGTACCAGTAACATGAAATTAGGAAAATGAATTATTTTAAATTCCATTTATAATATCATCAGAATAAAATAATTAGGTATCAATTCAAACAAAGCGTGCCAGATTTACACTGAAATCTACACAGTTTTTTTCTAAGAGTTTCAGCCTCTTTGGTGAAGTATTCTTTCTGTTCTCATCTCATTCCCAAGCTCATTATTCTGCCTTTCTGAGTTTTCTTGGAGCTTGCTGAGTTTCTTCATGACAGCAATTTTGAATTCTCCGTCAGTTATATCAGAATATTCCATGACTGGAAGTTTGGTTGTGGAGGGCTGTTGTTTACTTTTTGTGATACATGTTACTGTGGTTCTCCTCGTGCTGGATGCGTGGTTCCTCTGCCAACTCATTGGAGGCAGGGAGCACTTTGCAGCTTGAATTTAACAATTCAACAGATGAGACAGTAGAGGCTTTTCTTTTGTCTTCCTGGAGGTGGCGATAGAGCACCTGTTCTCTTCCCTCTGTCCCTACTTGGGAGTTGGCACTTTCCACCCCTCACCTCTGGCAGGGGTGTCGCCCCACCCTCCTTATTGCTTCCTGTGCCTCCAGGTACTTTGGTGCCTTGATGCTGCCAGTGTCGCTGGCATCGCTGCTTGGTGAACGGGGATAATGAGCTCTGCCTATGAGCTCTGCCTTCAGGTCCAGTATCCCCTGAATCAGAGGGGGGAAACAAGGGAGAGGGGGAGCTAGGGGAGCTCCTCTGCCATGTCCTGTGTTGTAAGGCTCTCAGGCTCTGCTACTGTGAGTGGGGGGTTGAGGGGGGCCAAAGTCATGGGTGGCCCGGTGGCTGGTGGGTTGGGGTCCCAGGACCCACTCCTTTGGCTGCCTAGTTATACCTGAGGTCCTGGGCATTAATTTGACTGGAAGACTGGATTCCTGTGAGTCACCTCCCTGCTACACTGGATGTCCTGGGGCTTCCAGCTCAGTGGCCACAGCTGGGGACCAGGATCGGAGGCTCTGCCTCTGTTCTTCCCTGCGTTCTGCTCCTCCATGGGTTCCAGTCCACCCACCTCTATATGTCCATTGTGTGGGATTCTCCAGAGTTCTACTGTGTTGGGTGGAGTCACCTTTGTTGTGTTGTTTGTTTATTGGTTGTGGATGGAAGGGAAGACACTAAGGCAGCTTTTCACTCCTCCTGAGGGTGATGTGTCTCCTCCGGGTCCCAGTCTTTCATCCAAAATACGTAATTCTGCTCAGCTGGAAATGACGCTAACCTGCAATCTGTGGGGCCCTGGGGAGACTCCCCTAACCCACAACCCAAACCCTGAGTCATCAGGTAGACCCAGAAATTAGCTTTGGGTCCAGAACTACAGGACATTTAATCTCAGGGTCTGGAGATGACTGGAGACAAGCCTGAAGGATCCAGACAGCAGGTCCCTGTCTGTTAGGTTCACAAAAGGGAAGAACAGACAGGACACCAGGGTACTGGGCTCTCAGGACTGAGGAGAAGAGGGGGCCTTCAGAGTTTCAAAGGGTGGAAAGTTTGATGCCTGCACAGGAGGGTCCATGCTTGGTCTCCTTGGATACCATGTTGAGACCTGTGGGTCCTGCACAGGAGGGTCCATGCTTGGTCTCCTTGGATACCATGTTGAGACCTGTGGGTCCACGTAGGTCTTGTGAGGAGAGGGGCAGGTGGTTTTCATGTTACTCAGGGAAAGTGTTCGGGGAACACCTGGGCCCAAAACTCCTGGCTGATCTCTTTGTAGCCACTGAGGTCTCCAGGCTCCACCCCACGTCCTGTCCTCTGCTCTCCAGGAATGACCTCCATGGCCACCAGCTGGGCAGGCCTTTTTTCAAAACCCCTGGGCCAGTCTTTTTGGCACAGTGGTCCCCACTGTCATAGCACATAAAGAGACGGTGTCCAAGGCTGTGAGCTGAGGACAGGCTCACCCAGCATCCTGTGCGCAGAGGGGGGATGGGTACTGGGAGAAGGGGTATTTCTCTGCAAGAGAGGAATCCCTTTCATCACCTCCCTTCTCTCCTTTTTTCTTTTCCTCCATATGTATTTCCTTTCCTCCATATGTATTTGAGTTGCAGCATACCTGTAAGGACAGAAAATACCTAAAACTTAAGTAGAGTTTACTGTCGAAATACAGAGCTAACACCTGTGTAATGACCATCAGTGTGAAAACAAGAGCCTCTCCCAGCACCCAGCCCAGGAGCCCCTGTGCCTCTCCCCACACAGACCCCATCCCTCCTGCACACGTGGCCACTGAGATGGCCCCTCCCCCCACCCCTCTCTTCTCTGCTTCTTCCTTCTCCAGTCCTGTTGGCCTCCGTCCCCTACTGTCATGATTTCTTCCTTCTCCTCACTTCTCAAGGGGCCCCGTTACCCTAGGGATCTCCTCCCCCTCCCCCTCCTCCACAGCATCCTAGGGATGGAGGTTCCAGAGTTGATACCCTGGTGCAAGAGCCTACATCCTTGTTAGCAGCAATGGAAACAGGTGACAGGCACTTGTGGTTCAAGGCACTATCCCAGGAGAGTGAGGGCGTCCAGTATGTTTGTGGGGTCCACAATGGACCTGGGAACCAACTTTTATGGTTCTCAAGATCTGCTCCTCCCTGAGGTCAAAGTCCTTGGTAATTCAATGGGGAGAAAAATCTATGTAAGCCTGTAGTTTGGGATACAACTCACACTCTAAACTTGACACTGGATGGGACACCCCCTTGAATGCACAGCCCTGTCCTACTGCTGGGAGCCCAAGGAGACCCTGGTCAGGTCCCTGGTAAGGAGGTCAAAGACGAGCTCAGGTCTCCTGTCATTATCCTTGTGACCACACAAGGGCGCTGCTGCCCTGTGCGCGGCTATTCAGCACAGCCTGGGGACAGGAGGGGCTGTGGTCTGAGTTACAGGGAGATGGCTGACCTGAAGGCTGAACAGCAAAGAACAGATGAGAATGCTTTCTGAGTAGCTCTGGGGTCAGGTTTGGGGGTAGGGCAGGGAGTGGAGGAGAGGAGAGCCCTGCAGTCCTGCCCTGTGTCTGAGGTTCCCATCTTCTCTCTCCACAATACACTTTCCACTCCTTGATGAAAACACCCTGGAAATCTCAGCATCTGTATTGTTTCTTCCACTCCCTGCTCCTCTTTGGAGGAGACTAAATTTTTTTAAATTATACTGCAGTTTGTAATTTACAAAAAAGTAGCAGAGTTAGCCTAGAGTTACTTTATATCTCACACTCAGTTTCCCAGTGGGAACATCTCATACAATGATCATGTATTTGTCACAGCTAATGAAGCACTACTGATACATTATTAATAAAGTCCAATATTTATTTGGATTTCATTAGTTTTTCTTTATTTCTGATCCAGGGTCCCATCAAAGACACCCTATTATAGTAAGTTCAAATCAAGTCTCCTTCAGGCTCTGTGGTTGTGACAGTCCCTCATTTTTGTATATTCTTGAGTATCTTTTCAGTTCTCTTGTCTGCTCATAAATAATGCTTTCAAAAGATGACATTAATATCCTTACACTTGTGAAGCACTTGACAGATCATCATCAGCTCATGTGTCAGGACGCACATTCTGATCCTCTCCTCCAGACCCATCACTTCTGACTGAGCTCTTCTGCCACAGAAATTCCATTACTGGAAAAGATGGGCTGGATTGTATGCATTGACAATAGCTTAAATAGACATGTGAAATACCAAAACTATCTTAAACACATCAAAAAAGGTGACAAGATACTCATAAAGGGCCACACCCAAAAAAGAAAGGAAAGATTCTGCTTGGTCTCCTCAGAGAACATGGTCCTGAGAAAAGGAGAAAATGCTCCATGAGTTCACTGCCCAGAGCCCAGCACATCCAGCTCTGCACCGCATGCTCTTGACTTTTCTATCAATCTGCTGTCCCTTAAAAATTTTTCAATAAAACTTTTTAAAATTCTGATTATAATGTACTTGTAATGTATCATATATTGTATAATGTATATTCAATGTAAAACAAGTTATAATGTGTTGAAAGTGATCAATGACAAAGTAAAAAGAACTACAATCCTCTGGAAATATTTTGTTACATTTTCTTTTACTTTTTTATACATCCTCCTGCTGCTGACCAAGTGCTGGAATTTTCTCTCTCTAAACTGATGAGCACAGACCTCAGTGGCCCCCACTCTGCACTCTCAGATGCCATTTCCTGAGTCAGCTCACTCTCCCACCTCCTAAGTGGGCTGTCTCTCACTTCCTGCTCCCTCCTCAATCCCCTCCACTCCTTCCCCATTCCTTATTCTTAATGGTGAGCTTGTTTTCACTCAGAAAATAACAGAGGACTCAAGTGAGAATGACATCATCATCCTCCCGCACTCCTGCATCTGCAACTGTATCCTCACCTTCCCACGAGTGATGATGGATGGTCCCTCCTGTCTAAGGCTGCCCCTCAGGGAGGTCACAGGATGTGGCTCATCCCTCCCCTGTATTATCAGCTTCCCACTCTCTGCTGCCTCATTTGTTCTTGCCTATAAACATGCTATAATCCTCCCCCCCAACCACACACACACACATACACACACACACACACACACACACACACACACAATCTAAACAAAACTAAATAAATCAAACAAAATCCTCCCATAAAACCCACCACTCTGCGTCCAATTTCCTCGCAACTACTGCCCCATGTCCATGACTCTTCTTACAGAACAATTCCCGAGTCCATTCTGACACCTACCGAGTTATCTTTTCATTTTTAGCTAATGGATATTTGCACATAGCTTTTAAAAATAAAATATTTTACAAGACTTGATATCAGGACAGTCGTCCCCGATCTTCCACATCACCCCAGCTCTTGAATCTCACAGACGAGCTGTTTTAGTTCTTGTAGATGACTCTCTAATAGTTACTTCAATGCCTCTAGACAGCATGCTCCTTATAATACTCCTTTGTTTTCAGTTTTACTTATCACCTTGAGTTAATTGGTTCTTCTTTCACACACCCTTGTCCTCCCAATATAATTATAATTTATTATAAATTTATTAATATTTAAAATTTCATTAGCTCAATGTGCAATATTTGCCTTACTATGATGATGGAATTGACAGTCACAAATGAGCATTTAGTAGACTATGACTACTTTTACTTTCTTGAATGAATTTTTTAACTTCCCTGGAATTAATTATCCTTTTGTTGTACTCATTTTCCACCATTCCCAAACTCTTCCTAGAATCTAGTCTTCATGAACGTCTTTGAGCACATCTCATATTCCACTAACTTCATCTCTCTGCACAGACCTGTCCCACAGCCCTCAGTCCTGCCTCATGTGGACGGGGTCCCTGCACACCTGGGGCAGGGCTGACATCTCTGGTCTCCTTCACCTCCTCCCAGGCAGCCCTCTCTCCCCCTTGTTTGGCTCCCAAGGGGCCTGGATCCTATGTCTTCCCCACTGTTGATTTTCTTCATCATTTCCCCCACTTTGACTAACAGTATCCTGAGAAAGGGAACATGGAAAGTGAAGCACTGTAACTCTGAAGGGTCTCAGGCTACCCTAGGACATACATCTTGACTAGATATACAACTCTGTGCTGGAATCACTTATTTTTTCCTCAGAATTCAGAAGGCATTGCTCAATGTCTTCTAATCTCCAGGCCTATGTTTGTTGCATTTTGAAGCTTTCAAGGTCTTTTCTTTTCCAACCTCTTTCTCATATTTCACTGTGATGGGCCCTGGTCTGTTTTCATCTAGTGCACTAAGAATTTGTGTAGGCAGTTCAAGATGTAAATTTTTGTCTGTAAACTCTGAGAAGTTTTCTTGACTTTTTAATCATTTCCTACTATCCATTATGTTTGAAACTTGAATTGTTAACCTGTTGGAATTCTTGATTGACAGACTAATTGACTTACAGGTCCTCTCTCCTCCTTGCCATTACTTTTCCATCTACTTACTGGGAGCATGACTGTAATCTTCCAATTCATCTATGGAATTATTCATTTCTATGATCATATTTTTAATTCCCAAGAGATCTTTTTCATTCTATGATTGAATATAATTGTATAGAATTCTGGTTTTGTTTCATATTCCATTTATCTTTTCCATCTTTCAGACATCATTGATAACAGTAGCAGGGGACCGGTCAGGACTCCTGTTATCTGCTCTCATGGCATCATGAGCTCTTCCTCACGGCACTTAGCACAGCCGTGATGTGCATCTGTCTCGGTCATTTCTGTCCCTCTCCCGCACAGCAGAGCCTGTCTCCCGTCACCAGGGGCCTAACTGTTGCTCTCCTCTGGTGTCTCCTGATGCAAGGTGGCCTCAAAATAGATGTTCCTGAACTTCTCTGAGTCTCCTTTCCCTATCTGCACAGAGGGATCACACTGTAGGTGCCTTAGGGATTTGCTTTGATAAATAAATTTGACCCTGTATGTAAGTCACATGGAATGACTGCCTGAGACACAGTCAGTGCTCCTCTTTTCACAGTGACCATCATTACAGTGATTGTATTATTTAGTTTTTTTTTCCATTCTTTGCTTCTATAAACCACAATTCAAGATACATTCTTGAACATCTATTTTTGAGAACATGTGTGATTATCTTCTCAGGATAAATTTCTAAAAGAGAAATGTCTCTTTCGATGTAAACATATTGCAAATATTGTGACATTTTGCAAAAGTGACCTTTAAGATTTCTGTATGAGTTTTCAATCCCATCAGTCTTTATGACAGTCTGTTCTACCTCATTTCCTGTCAACCCTCCCCTCATTCACTTTCATCGTTGCGAACTTGATAGATTTTAATTCATTCCTATTTCTTATTCCACATTTTCATTTTTGTTTACACTTACTTAATACTAATATATTTGTTTAATGTTTGCATTTCTTCCTTTCCAAATTCTTATCTAATATTCTTTTTTTCTTTTTTTTTTTTGGATGTAGTCGTTTTAAACTACTGCATTCAAGAAGGACAAAGCAGCCTCCGACCACAGGAACCGGTCTAACATTTACACTGACCTCAGTGTTCTCAGAAGCGGGGCTGGTGCTCCCCATTCAGCCATGTTATTTTGCTGTGGACATAAGTCACCTCACAGAACTTCAACATCAGGCAGGGACACCTGAGACCATGACACAGGGAGACAAAACAAGACCACATCATTCTGTCTAAGCACAGACCAAACAAGGCGGCACTGTGTCCCTCACAGTGCACCAAACCTCTCCCTGTGTTAATACAGCAGTCACTGCTTCTGTCCAGGTACAGCTGTATCCTCGCTGTAGTCTGCCCTTCCTATGGGTGAGATTCAGTCAGATGCCCAGTCAAAACTATTTTCATAGCATTACTAAGATACTATCTGCCTTTTCACTATGTTGACATCTGCTTTGAGGTACAGCTTAGAAATAATGGAGATTATGGAAGCAAACTGCAACAGTTTTCACAAGTTACTTGCAGGAAAAAAAACAGGTTTGCTTTTAAACGTGCTGGTTGAGGCATTAAAATTATCATTCCTAAATCATCATCCTTAAATCACATTTTAAAAATATCTTCTATGATGGACATACACATAAAGCACTTCTGCTACATTTCAAAATACTGTGTCCCATGTGAAAGAATTTGTGTGAGCTGAACTATGCTCTTTTTTATGGAATACTATTTTTACGTGAAAGAATGAATGACACTGGAAGATCTGTATAACTTCATGAAACAATGTATTTTTTTAAATCCTCCATTAGTACAAGAGGCACTCAGTGGGCAAAATAGGCTTGTGAATTTTAATGTAACAGAACAAGAAATATTCACTGATATTGTTTCAGGTCTACTTTACAAACAACCTTTGACAAACTACCACTTGTGTAGTTTTAGTTTAGTATTAAAGAGAACCATCCTCAATTATTTGAAATAGTTACTTAAAATACTACTCCTACATATGTGTGAGACTTCAATCAAAATAACTGATTAATTGCAGCAGCAAACATGAAAATCCTGTGGTCTTCTAATGAGAGAGACTAGAAAGAGACTTGCAAAAATGTAAAAATGTAAAAAGTTCCACTCTTCTCACTACCGTGTTTATTTTGGGAAATTATTTTTATATTAAATGCATGGGTTATTAATATTATTCTCAGTAAGCTCATAAATTTGAACTGTTATTCCTACTATGAAAAATACCGATAATTGTAGTCACATACACAAAATTATTCTTGGCTCCTCACTCATTTGTAAGACTGTGTTAAGTATTCTGACCAAAATGTTCTATAAATAGGAAACTTACACAGCCCTGGGCCGGGACCTAGAGAGACTGTGACAAAGAGCTCTCCGTGCTGGAGGGGAGGGATCAGGGCGAAATCCCAGGTCCCTGGGAGGGCGTGGCTCTCGGGGTCTCACCGACGGCGGGGTCTGGGGCGGGGACGCTCGGTACTGCGGACTCCCCATCTCTCCGGGTTTCACTTTCTCTCTCACAACCTGTGTCGGGCCCTCCTGCCTGGACACTCGTGACGCGGCCCCGCTTCTCACTCCCATTGCGTGTCCGGTTTCTGGAGAAGCCAATCAGCGTCACCGCGGTTCCCGGTTATGAAGTCCGCAAAGACCCGCTTAAACTGAGCTTCTATTATGACTCCGAGCAGGCGGGTCACGACGCCCAGAAGCCTCCTCTTGCTGCTCTCGGGGACCCTGGCCCTGACCGAGACCTGGGCGGGTGAGTGCGGGGTAGGAGGGAACGGCCTCTGCGGGGGAGGAGCGAGGGCCCGCCCGGGGACAGGAGGGCAGGACCCCGGGGAAGCAGAGACGTCGCCGCCCTTCCCCCAGACCCCTCACCCCACCCGGGTCCCGGCTGCTCCCTCCCTTGCTTCCCGCCCCCTCTTCTCTCCCACCCGATCCCGACTCTTCTCCACCCGCCGCCCCTTTTCCGTCTCACGAGCTCCCCCGTCCTCCGGGCCCCATCACTTCCGACCCCGGACCCGAGGGGGTAGAA